TGCTTTGAAGAAATTCATTAACCCGTAAATTAATAAATGATTACTATTATGATGAAAGGAAGATGAGGAATTAGTGGGAATGTATTTTATATTCTATTTTCTTGCAAAATACAGACAAATCCGCACTATTCAACAGGCAGGTAGCTATAATGATAGCATACGAACACACAGTATATTGAACTTAACAAATTCGAGATTGCCATGCATTAACAAACGTCCAAACCTGCAATTAAATTTAACAGCTAGAAAACCGATCTATTATTTGTCGCATTCCCATTGGGTATGGGGATAACGGATTGTAAAATGTAAATTTATAAGAGAAATCAAAATACATGAAAGTTTTCCTGTTTTCTCTGTACAAAAGCATCATGTTGGAATCAAAAAGAGGTCTTGTTTATAATACAATCGAATTTTCACGATTTTATGCAATACTTTAATAGAAATCACTGACATTCAGAGACCTTTGACAGCTTCCGTCAAATTGCATTTTGATAGGGTATTTTTCCATTGGTCCAACTGACCGTCAAATATTAATGATGGCGCGTAAAGTATCAAATTAACGGTGAGGGCGCCAACCTTACGATTCGTGAGTGCATTATTTACTGAGAAAAGGCGGAACACCGACTAAATCTCTACCTAGCTAGTTACTTTTTACCAAGTTTGCAAAGATTTGCAAATACATGCAAGAAAGGCACAAGAAGTTGTTGAAAATGAATGGGGATAGGATTTTCTTGTGGCAGAGAGAGCCAGATCGACCTGGTCATTTAGTTGGGGCGGACAAGAAATTAGCCATAAAAGAAGAAAAGGCACGTCTAAGGAACACCGACGAACAAAAGCGGTGAGCTAAATATATTGCTGCCTTCGACAATATCTTACGAACCATTGCAAGAAAATTCATCTTCAGATTCCGAGATAAATTTACAGGAAACTTTGCCGATACCAATACAGAGCATACAGGCTGATACTAATCAAACTCAAATGGGGGAAAAGTTTCATATTTCCAAAATTAGTGGCAGCATAGGTGTCAGCCAGGTATGTGAGATGCTGTTTTTATTATTGAAGCAACCATTGAGGCACTTGGACATCACACTGATGAGTTTCCAATAAGGAAGTGCTCTATTCAAAAAATTCCTACGGAAAAGCGATAGGGGCGCGCAGAATCTATAAAGCTTGATCTTCTAAGCGAGGTACCCGATACTAGAACTGTCCAGTAGGATGGCAAATTGTTGCCACCTTTAAATGCACGCAAGTCTAAAGGATAACGTCTACCGATTGTTATATAGTATGAAAACAAAGAGCAACTTTTCGCTGTACCCAAATAAGATAACTCTTCAGGCGACAAGCGACTGGAACCTTGAAGATAAAACTTAGATTCACTGTTGTGATACTACTGCTTCAAATATGGGTCGCATTAACGGTACTTGCGTACTTCTAGAACAGAAGCAAAGAAATGCATATTTTTGCTTGCCGCCATTACGTCTGCAAATTGGTGTTAAAAGGCGTGATTGAATGAAAGATCGGCCAAGTGATTACAAGCCCTGACTTTCCAATGTTTAAAAAGTTTCGCGAAAGCTGTAAAAGTGAGTATCCCGAGAAATACAGATTTATACTAAAAAGCTTTCATGCCTGAATATTTCAGATACTGATATGCTGCTAGAATTTCATCGACATGAATTGATCAAAGACGTTGCTAGATAATTAATAGAACTTTCAATAGTATCCCTGGGCGGAGAAAAAATTTAAGATTCGGCCGCCAGGCGCCATGCTCGATGGATGGCCAGGGCATCTATTCAGTAAAAATAGCGTTACCAAGTTTCCAGCTCAAATTTTCTAATAGGGATAAGGCAGCGCTGGTAGATATATGCCTGTTGATCGTGGCAATGTACGTGAGACCGTGGTTGCAATGCACTTTAGCGGTAAAAGCACCTAATCAGGGTTTATGATTTTTAAATGCAATGAAGGCTTACGAGTGCAAAGACAAAACCATTTCAGCCATACAAAAGTTCTGCCAACATCTATGGTATGTGACAGATGGAGGAATTAAAGTTAAAATTGTTGCTAGTTTAGCCAGGGAAACTCCATCAGCCCACGGTAGAAGCTACATTCTATCGAAAGAAGAACTTTCTGGCCCACTTTATGGCAAGTCTGACGAATAAATTTTCCTTTGTATTCTTTTAAAGCTTCGATATAATATGCTAACTGTTAAAATAAGCCATCATAAGCTGCGATTCTGGTAATAGATGACACCTTATACTGTCATGTTTCGATAGATCTTATATGTACCTCAGATAGAAGTTTGTTGCTATACTTTCATTCATTGTCCTGACCTGAGGTCAAACCAGACGATGCTGATGAGTTACTGTCTGTGGTCGGACGGCAAAACCAGAATGTTTGTGTGGTAGTAATTCTTCGTTTTTTAATTTCAGAGAAAAGTATCGATGACTTTGCTTCAATCAAAAGCAAGTCGTTGTTCAGTCGACTCAAAATTGGTGTCAGGTTTCTCGACGAGTGTCCAACTTCATGGCCACATAATGATTCTTTTCAACATGCTAAGAATGAAAGCAGACGATTACATCGGTTAACTATACGGCATAAATAGCAGTCAAGTTAATGCAAGACCTGCTAAATCACTGCTGATGACGAACAAAAACAATTTTTATTACGTTGCGTACAAGAACACAGGCAGGTATATCCTGACTGCAAAAAGAAAACTGTTTACCCAAAGTCGGCACGGGTTATCGTTCCTGGACCGCAATAATATTTATTTTTTGATGTTGTTAGATTCAAATGGAAAAAAAGAGGGTATTGCGTATCTCAATCCGAACAAAAATTTGTTTGTCCTCATAGGCTGGGACACCCTGGCTATACACTAAAGATTGAGTTTCTTGCCCTGTAATATTGTCACTTATATCTGCACTTGAGGTCTACCTCGGCTGGTGCTTAAAGAAACTGACAGATGCCGTAAGCGGTATTGAATCATCCAATTTTCGGTTGTAACATTTCTGGGGCTGGGACGTTCGCTGGGCAGGACACAAGCCTCTTGGTTTTTGGTCACCCAATGAGAAGATCTTGTATGCTTATCATCTGGAACTACAAGCAGTTCTTTTCGGTCGTGAATGTTTTGTTGGAGGCTTGAGGGGCTATCGAATATTATATCCCATTGATAATGTGACAACTATATCCTAATCAATAGAATGGGAGCTTACAGCTTCCACGCTTGGACCAGGTTGCGGTAGAGCTATGGCAGTTGCGTAAAGAGAGAAATCTTACTGCCCTCGCGTCAAATATGAAATCTAGAGTTAATACTGATACAGATGAGCTTTTGCGTCAGTGGTACGTGAAAACGGAGTGGACGCTCCACCTATCACCGTCCTGATTTTGGTCCACGTGTTCGGTGTCCCTGTAATTTCAGGCTGTCGTCATTCATTCTGATCTAATCATATTAGCAAATTTCCCCGAAATAATTGTATAGTCTGGTTTTATTGGTGCAAGTTGTGCAACATGGTCGCATAAAATGGGTACACCAATTTTTGTGGACAAACTTTTCGACAACAAAGAATGAGAAAACGTGTTTTCTGGGATTCAATCGAAAGTCTTCACAGGAAAGAAAGAACTTTTCATATAAGATTTTTATGTATTTATGAGACGTAGAAAATTAGACCACACATAGAAAGATCTGACTAATAGCAAAAATGTTATGGCCGAAGAACGAGGCAAAATGCAGGTTTTCGCACTGGTAATGCGACGGTAATTTCACGCAACTACTTGAAATTCGTCAAATCCATCGGATTCATATTTCTTAATAACAATACCAAAATTGGAGTATATTAGTCAATTAGTTTTTTTTGATAATTTCTAATTGTTTATCAAAAAACACATGTTTTCCGGTCATCACTGCTAGTTTATTGAGCAATATACAGGGTTCGTTCAAAGAGCATTTAATAGCAAAGTACACGTGCTTACCTTACCGATATGATTAGTTTTATGCGAAAGTCGAAGGATACGTTTTCTTCTTCTAAACAAATTCAAACGTCTCGTATTTGTGAGTAATTGAACAAATGGGCTACGATATTTACTAATATACACAGTTTAAAACAAAGCGGATTTGTCTAACATCTTTTGTTGCGAATTACTCAAAAATACGAAATGTTTGAATTTGTTTGAAAAACCGTAACCCATGCGTTTTTGCATAAAAATAACATTTATCTTTCGGAATGGTTTGCGATTCATATGGGCAAGATAAACTAGTGTATTTTGCTATAAAATGACATTTCAACTAAACATGCATATTATATTGCTCAATAAACTAGTAGTGAAGGCTGGAAAACACGTGTTTTGGGATAAACAATTAGAAACTCTCAAAAAAAAAGCTTGACCAATCTACTCAAATGTTGTTGTGGTTATTTAAAAGTACGAATCCTAGGAATGTGAAGAATTTCAAGCATCTGCGAGAAACCATCGCCGCATTACCAACAAGTGCCAAAACCTGTACTTTGCCTCGGATTTCGGCAACTTTTTTGATATTAGTCGGATTTACGTGTAGTCTCCTTTTGTAGGTCTCATAAATACCTGAACATTTTATATGCAGGGTTTTTTCGTTTCTGAAATAACTCTCGATTGAATCCTAAAAAACACGTTTGCCATTCTTTGTTGTCGGAGTTCGGTCCTGACCAAAATCGAATTGGTAAATACTCTACGTTTATGCGTTAAAAAAGATCAGAATCTGAAATAATTACTTACCATATCTACGGCGTGCGCTAGCACAGAATTTCTAACAACAGAATATGTATATATTTAGCAACTAAACATTTAGTAGACACCTTTTTAGAGAATCATGGACAAATAGAAGTAAATGGTGAGATCTTGAGAGGACGGAGATTAGTTTCTCCTTCAGACCGTCTAGTGATATCAAATGTGAGTCCTACAGTTCCTCACTCAGTTCTTAATGAAAAACTACTGCAACTAGGTATGAAACTCGTATCGCCAATTTCATTCTTCAGAATAGGTGCTCCACTTCCAGAGTACAGTCATATTCTGAGCTTTCGAAGACAAGTTTATATAGAACCCAACCAACAGGCCCTAAATATCCCAGAATCCATTGAAATAACTCATGAAAACCTAGCCTACCGCATTTTTCTATCGCTAGATAGTCAAAAGTGTTTCAAATGCAGCAAGCAAGGTCATATAGCTTCCCAGTGTCCACTACCCTCCCATCAACGACAAACAAATCCACATGAGACCCAATCTACCAAAGAACCTGAATCAACAAGCACACACCACATAAGCAATCAACAAATAATAACAACAGAGACCCAAGAAACAGCACTATCTCAACATATACCTAACCCGCGTGAAGCTGATGTAGAACTACCAAATACTAGCCAATCAGTAATCGACAAAAGTCCAATCGCCACCAGAAAAACGCAAGAGCTGATACCAGAAATACAAAATTACACCCAACAAAACAAACCGGATCAACAAAATAGAGTTATACCACACACTTCAACAGGCAGTAAATATATAGCTACTCACAACAACCCATCCCCAAAACGCTACTTCTCAGAAACAATCTCACCGACAACTCCCACGCATGAAAATTCAACCCCTCCTACATTTGCAGTTCCCAAAAATACTAAATCAAAGAAACATAAAACAGATATGCAGTCATCCTACATCTCCCAAGACTCTCTAGCAACTGCCAAAACATTCATAGACCTGCCCTTCCCTTGAATAGTGACCAGTTTAAAAGCCTTCTCGAGAACAGTCATGGAACACAAGACATCACAAATATAATTAAACATTATACGGATGACATTAAAGGACTTATAGAAATGATACTATTAGTATACCCCCACATAACCGATAAAACAGTCAAAAATAGATGCACAAGACTCCGTAAAAAGCTAGAACGCTACATTGACAACAACACTAACGAATGCCTTAGTGATACCTCCTCCATAGATTCAACTTTCTAATTACCTGAAAATCGTAATGCACATTGGACTAACTTCTTTGTTGCAGTGGAACCTCAATGGGTACTACAGTCATCTGAACATGTTACAGAAACTCTTATCAGATCAAAATCCAGACATAATCTGCTTACAGGAAACTCGCTTTACTGATACCAACACACACTCACCAAAAGACTACAAGGGATTCTTTAAGAACCGTAATTATACTTCCAACCAAATAGCTAGCGGTGGCACTGCAATATATATATTAAAAGTAATATAGTAGCGAAACCTATAAATCTAAATACACAGCTAGAGGCAGTTGCTATCACAATAGAAGTCCCTCAAAAGATCAGCATCTGCAACATATATATACCACCGAACTATCAATTAGACATTAATGAACTAGAAATGCTACTCCAACAGATACCCTCTCCACGACTCATCATGGGCGACTTTAACGCCCACCACCTTGTTTGTGGTTCCAAAAGTAACAATGCTCGAGGAATAATAGTAAAGGACTTACTAGATACAACTGATCTTAGCATAATGAATGATGGTACAGAGACAAGGCTTGATCTTGAAAATGGAACATTCTCAGCAATAGACCTAACTTTAACCTCAACAAACCTGATAAGCTCACTGCACTGGCAAGTACTAGATGACCTTTATGGAAGTGACCACTTTCCTATCAGAATATCTAATACGGAAGTCCAAAACAGAACTACACCATTTGAAAGGTGGAATTTGAATAAAGCCGACTGGATGAAATTCTCGGACTACATAGAACGACAAATCCAAGAACTTCAAATAGTTAGCGACATTAACCAAAGTGTATACAATTTCAACAATATCATCTTGAACGCAGCACATAATCACATCGCTTTTATATCCAATTTTCTGAGCAATAGGAGTTTTCAAGTCCGTTCGAATGGAGTTCTATCCAAACCCAAACTACAAGAAAATGGCATCCCGCAAGGATCAATAATCAGCCCGACATTGTTCTTAATCGCTGTCAACGACATACTCAGTTACATTGAAAAACTAGTTCAAGCACGTCTTTATGCGGATGATATGATAGTGTATATAAGAGGAAAACACCCAACAACCAATACAGAACTCATACAAAAAACAATTCACAAATTGGAACAATGGACAAAACACTCCGGGTTATCATTTTCACGTGAAAAGACAAAATATATTATATTCTCAAGAAGACAGATAATCCAACTCAGAGTACCACTAACACTTCATAACATATCCTTAGAGCAAACACAAGAAATCAAATTTCTGGGACTCGTATTCGATCATCGATTGACCTGGAAAAACCACATAGAGTACCTAGTTACAAAATGTGAAAAAAGAATGACAGTATTAAAATACTTATCCAACAGACACTGGGGAGCTGAAGGCAAATCCTTGCTCTACCTATACCGATCACTGATAAGATCCAAAATAGACTATGGTAGCATAATCTACGCCTCAGCTAGCCGGTCAACTCTAAAACCTTTGGATAGCATACACCACAGAGCACTACGCTTAGTACTTGGAGCATTTAGAACAACACCAGTCCAAAGCTTATATTGTGAAGCCGGCGAAGTGTCGCTGAATGACAGAAGGGAGATACTAAGCTTAACATACGCCACTAAAATAGCATCAAATCCAAGTATCCCTGGTCACAAGTACATAGGACAGATTTATAGAGGAATCCAGCTGGGCGTTTCCAATGCAACACAGAAAAAACCGTTTTACAGAAGAATCTCCGACTACTTGAGAAAATTAAATATCGCACAAATTCTTGCAACTACCATCAGACCTAGTGCAGACATTGCTCCTTGGACAATGCAGAGGCCAAGCATCAACAAAGCTCTCACAAGAATGAGTAAAACAGACACGCCAGCACCAGTAATAGTACAAAATTTCCAGGAAATAGTCAACAAATACCAACACCATGAGAAAATATACACAGATGCATCAAAACTTGACAATAGAGTAGGAACAGCTGTTGTGACATCCACTACTACCATTAAAATGAAATTACCAGACGAAGCAACAATTCTAACCGGAGAATTATATGGAATATTAGAAGCCATGAAACACGTACAGAATCAGAACATTCAACGAAGCCTCATAATAACTGATTCTCTAAGCTCGCTTCAGCTTATTGAGCAGATATGTACGAAAAACCACCTGGTGCACCAAATTAAGCAGATTCACCACTCATTACAAGCAGACAACCACGATGTTGTATTCGTATGGGCTCCTTCTCACGTTGGTATCCAAGGCAACGAAAAAGCAGACCATCAAGCTAAACTAGCAGCAAACTTGGATCACACATCAACCATAAACATCCCAGATACAGATATAAAATCTCACCTTAAACAAAGAGCTATTCATACCTGGAATACCAACTGGCAGAACAACACATCAAAGCTGTTTGAACTGAAACCTAGATTCGGACCATGGACAACACACACAACAAACAGAAAATACCAAACAATCATCACACGACTACGTTTAGGTCACACCCGGATCACCCATGGACATCTCATCACGCAGGAACTAGAACCCATGTGCGAAGTGTGTGAAACCCCTCTCAGTGTCAAACACATATTAGTGCAGTGCCCTTTGTTAGAGCACTATACGTATAGAGTGGAATGTAACCTCACATCATCAACCATGTGTGATATTTTAGCACCAAATAGCAACATAAGCAATCTATTACGTTTCCTACAGCAAACTAACGTATTATATAAAATATAGCATGTAAGCTAATGGCCTTTAGGTCGAAGCGGGTAAATAAAAAAAAAAAATTCTATGTTGTCGAATAAAAAGCTTTCCACAAAAATTGGTGTGCCCATTTTATGCGTCCATGTTTTAAATAGCCCCTTGAACAACTTGCAGCGATAAAACCAGACTTTACAATTATTTTGCAAGCCAGGGGTATTTTTGTCTAATATGATTAGACTATTAATGCATCATATGATTATGGGCTTAGAGTACTGTAGGACCTTTCTCGCGAAGAAGTATATGTCTGATTTTCTTCCGAGATAACCAATACCTTGAAATTTCTCACCTTACACTTTGATAAAAGATTAAGATATAATTGTTTGATTTGCTATAAGTCAGCTATCAATCTTTTACCCAAAATGTTACTAACAGCACAGGCACAAAGTGGTATTTAAAAAGCTTTCACAGGTTGAGTCAATCTCAACCGAAATATAGCCCACTTTAGATACGGAGGTTGTTCTCATCCATCTAGGGGGTTGCTGATGACGTTTGTAGATATTCGAATGAAGAAATCAGCAACAGCCCTTACCTCAGGTGAGAGTGTGCAAACCTTGCCCCTAATTGAAACAGACAACATCCGGATCGGTTTGAATAACATTGAAATTGGGATCTGCCAGTTTTTAAAAGCCCCCGGGCCACCCAGGATGCAAACCACTTTTAGTTTTATTGTAATTTACACCCAAATATCTGTACAACCAAATTATTTATTTGTAACTATAAAGAAGCTTTATCATTGTGCCTCTTTTCCTACTATGTGTAGATGGATGAATTCTGCTTCAGCAGGCAGTGGCTTAGGTGTGTCACAATTGACATTTTACAGATTATATTACGTCAGGATCGAACCAGGCTGGAGTGCGTTTCCTGATAAACCTCACAAATTTCCTATGCCAAGCGATAATTTTGTTCAAGCGGCATTTGACGTAAGTTTCCGCACATAAAACATGAATATGTTATTACGTTCTTTGCTTGTTACCATGTAACAGATGGTATTTTTTTTGAACTTATATACGTCATATTATTATTCTTGCTAAAAGCCCTAACTTTAGTTGTTACAATGACAATGTAAATTTAGTTGACACATGCATTCTGTAAAATTTGTATAGTTGTGTACAACCTATCGTTGACTATTGCAGAGCGTTAGTAGTATATGTATATGTTGTTGCGGCTCGCTTTGAACATCTACACCCGTTCTATTTATGAGACCAGGCCGGAACGTAATTACATGATCAAACGAACTTACCTGTGAGCGATTTTCGATCTTAATTATGCGAAGATCTCGCCGAAGTAACTACTTGACTTTGAAGAAAATGAGCGTTTGTTGGCCAGCGGTCCGGAAGGGGTAAGATGGTTGCCACTTTTCTTCGCTTTGAACTCGTGGTTTGACCGGGAAACACAGGACTACACCTGTGCTATCTACTTCGACGGGACCTTCACATAATTAAAATCGAACATCACTTACAGATAAGTTCGTTTAGTCATGTAATGTTTCCGCTAATATTTGAATGATTTAATTCTGATCTTATCTGAATAAATAAACTTGTTTAACTCAACAACCCACAGAGGCGCAATCAATTTATGTTGCTAACTAATAAGCAGCATTCATTAGCTTTTTTGTACATAATCAAACAATCTAATATTAAGCTTAAAAAATGTTAATTTTAATGGAATACAATATATTTAGGTATATAAAGGGAGTTTTTTTATAGATATAGAACTTTAAATTGCAATAAAACAACGATGGATTATTCGATTGACATGCATGTTTTTTATTGCAAAGATAATCTTGTGGCATTACATTTTAAATATGATTTCTGGCATATGACTGCCATGTCAGGCTCGGATGTAGTCCAATCTAGACGTCCAATTTTCGATGACTTTTCCCAACATTTGTGGCCGTATATCGGCAATAACATGGCGAATGTTGTCTTCCAAATGGTCCAGCGTTTGTGGCTTGTCCGCATAGACCAACGACTTTACATAGCCCCACAGAAAATAGTCTAGCGGTGTTAAATCACAAGATCTTGGAGGCCAATTCACAGATCCAAAACTTGAAATTTGGCGGACACCAAACGTGTCTTTCAATAAATCGATTGTAGCACGAGCGGTGTGACATGTTGCGCCGTCTTGTTGGAACCACAGCTCCTGGACATCATGATTGTTCAATTCAGGGATTAAAAGGTTAGTAATCGTGGCTCTGTACCGATCACCCTAGCACCAATGCTACGCTCTAGAATGATAATACAGGGTGTCCGCAAGGTTGGGGTTTTCCTTTACACGACGTGTAGATCTTGAAAACTTAAGCAATTTTTCTTAGTACCATATACACCAATGTCTTAAGGGAACCGAGATAAAGGGCTCTGCAACATCAAAAATATCTGAATACTGTCCTGTAGCCGCGCCATCATGGAGTGGTACAATGTCACTGGCTCAACGACAGAACTGGGTCGGGGGTCGGGGTCAGTGTGTCAGGTCAGTATGCAACCTTCAACCGATGGTTACGGTCACGCCTGTAGAGGTAATCGCGTAGACGAGAATCCGTCAACAAGCACTAGAGACGTGGCTAGAGAAGTGTAAGTATCAAAAACTAAAGTGTGGCAAACGCTGCGTGAAGAAGGGCTATATCCGTTTCACGTCTAACGGGTACAAGCCCTTCAACCTGACGATTTTCTAGCAAGAGTGCGGTTTTGTGAGTGGTTGTTGCATCAACATGACAATAATCCGGACTTTTTGAAGTGCATATTGGTGACAGACGAATCTACATTCACGCGTAATGGGGTGAATAACTTTCGCAACACTCATGTTTGGTCAGTAGAAAATCCGCAAGCTGTCCGTCGGGCTCATTTTCAACAAACATTTTCGGTGAATGTTTGGGCTGGCATGGTGCGTCTGCTTGGTAGTGCATCAGCTGATTTCATTTTCTGTTGGAGCAGTATGATTTCGGGCAGAGACGTACTTAGCCCTTCTCGTCAACTGGAGAGTGAGTACTTTTTCCTTTATTTATTTTTACTTGGTCGCCCTCGTTTCACTACACATTACCTTCGTTATTTCAAGGGTAGTTGTTTCTGAAAAGGAAAACCCCAACTTTGCGGACACCCTATATATATATATATATATATATATACAGGGTGTCCCGCAAGGTAAGTGACAAAATTTTTCAACGTGTTCCTCAGGTCGATTCGAGTGGAAAAAGTCCTATGAACATGGGTCCGCAAATGCTTCCTTATCGAGATAATGATTTTTTCATTTTTACGGTGTTAATGGTGGGAAACCACAATATTGTTAGAAAATTACTTTTATTTAACACAAAATTACTAGGCACACTAAAAATAACTATTCATAATAGTTGTTCAAAGTGTCCACCTTCATACTGTAAACATAGTCTAACCCGTTTAATAATGTGACTGGTGGCTTTCCCAAAAACAAGATGACTACTTCGGAGCAGTTCAGCCTTAGTATGCGATTTCTCTACATCCACTAAAGACTTCATATGTCCAATCCAACGCCTAGGAAAAGTGTTATTTAGATACTTTTTGCAAACAAACACCAGCGTATCAATCGGGCAGTACAACATGAATGTGGACTTTAATTATTGCAAACAGTTGTTTGCATACGAACAGTATTAATTTTTTCGTTAAATAAAAGCAAATTTCCAACAATATTGTGGTTTTCGCCCACTAAAAATAAAAAAATCATATCTTGATAAGGAAGCATTTGCGGACCCATGTTCATACGACTTTTTCGACTCGAATTGACCTGAGGAACACGCCGAAAAATGTTGTCCCTTACCTCGCGCGACACCCTGTATATAGAGAAAATGATCATGCGGAGAAGGGTGTATAACAAAAAGTAGGAAAATAATGGGCAAAATCCGCAAAAAGGAGGATAGTGGATTCGAGCAGAATATAGGATAGGTAACCCGAGCGATACGTACGAGTATTTTTGCTGGTTGGCTTCATCAGGCCCGAAATGAATGCACACATGAAACTACAAAGGTAGATACACATGCTCACATATCCGGATACGGTGGTAACCTGAGGAAACAAAGGTGGAGAGGGCAAAAAACGACACAACAAGAGCCAACCTACACATTGTAGTATAAAATGGCTATACGACCTCGAATTTTCAAGGAGACGTCTAACCACCACCACGCGGCCGGTTATAGCCACTTGCTGTGGCACTTCAAGCCCAAAAGATTTGCAAAGAGAAAATTCATCATTTTCTCTTTGTAGATCCTTTTTCCTAGCACCTTACTCTCCCAAACTTGTTTCACCGGTATGTTGTCACCCATTCTCTGCAAACGTCCCCACCATCTCAGCTGCTTCAATTCTATGTGTTCTAGTATAGATGCTGTCTCTCGCGTTTCTTATTTTGTCCATTTTGGTTACCCCTTTAACTCGTCTCAAGTATTTCATTTCAACTGCCTGAAGGTTTTTACTTTTTTGTTGTTGCAATAGAACCCAGGATTCGCATCCATATATCAATGTAGGTCTAGATATTGTATTATACACTGTCATTTCTGTTTTCTTGGCCACCTCTTTTTTGTTGATAAAACCTTTACTCATCGCATACTACAAGTTGTTTGCCTTTCCTATCCTTTCAGAAGTTTCTATTTCATTCCTGTCGTTAGGTTCCAATATAGCTCCCGGATATTTAAAGGAGTGCACCTGTTGTAATTTTACATTATCTATTCTTACGTCCATAGTGAGATTTTCATTTGACACAGCAATAACTTTAGTTTTAAGTTTATTTAGTTTCATACCATTATCTTCAAGTACTGTGTTCCAAATGTTCAAATTTTCCTGTAGACTCCCAACACTACCAGTTACCAACACCAAATCATCTGCAAATGCGCACTCTGCTAATTCCACTTTTTGCAACGTCCTGTATCCAACAAAAATTGGTTTTGTTCTTTGCCTGCAATGTCTTGATCTTGATCATCCATAAATACTGTAAACAATAGGAGACTAAGCCCTCCGCCTTGTCGTACTTCCTCTGAAATAGCGAATTCTTCGGGCATCATATTTCTGGATATTACTCGGATGTTAGTCTGGTGGTATATACTGATGATCACTTCTACTAATTTTATAGGAACATTTCTTTTCAGTAAATTCACTTTTAATTTTTTTCGTGGAACTCTATCAAAAGCTTTCTCCATATTCATGAAGGCAAGGTACATTGGTTTTCCTTTTGGTAAAAATTTACTTATCAAGTTTATAATAGTAAATATGTCATCCTGAGTGCTTCTTCCCTTTCTGAAGCCACTTTGTGTTTCAGACAATGGCGGCTCTATTAACTTTCTCAGTTTTTTCTCTATTATGTGTTCATAGGCCTTGAGCACTGTATACAGCAGCGTTACTCCTCTGTAATTATTACAATCTATTTTGTCTCCTTTCTTGAAAAGTGGTAAACTCAACCCTGTTGTCCACTGCTCGGGTATTGTCTATTGTCTATATGTTTTTGTGAAGAGAGGATGTAGTATTCTAATAAGAGTTTCATCCATATTTTTCAACATTTCCCCTGTCATTTTATCTATTCCAGGTGCCTTTCCATTTTTAAGTTTCTCCAATGCTTCTGTTACCTCGTCTATTGTTATCTCCTCTTCTTCTATACCTTCGGTGTTTTGATGTGTCGTGGTACCGAGTTATTATCTGGTTTGGTGACATTCTGTGAGTTCAACAAATCATTAAAGTATTCTTTCCATCTAGCTAGTATTCTTTTGCCTCCATAATCATAACTCCATCTCGATCCATTATCCCTGTTGCGTCAGTTGCTGGATTTTGTCTATTTCGAAGTCTGATATTGCTTCCCACCTATGTACGAAATTCTTCTTATTTCTGAGTATAATACATCCCACTCCTGCAGCAGCTCTTTCCTTTGTATCTACGCCACTGTATATTAAAATATGCCCGTTGCCTAGATTTTAAATGCCATTTCCCTTTTTCTTTGTTTCTGTTATTACCAGAATTTCTATTTTTGATTTTTCAAATTCACTAACTAGCTCAGGTTCTTTGCCATTTATGCTTCTTATATTCCAGGTTGTCAATGTCATGTATGCCATCCTGCAATCTTAATTTTTTATGTTTATACATTCCTTATTCGTTTCTATTACCGTAGCCTGTTTCGTCTTCGTTTTCCAGTTTTTGCTTAGTTTTTTTGGAATTCGAATACAAAACACTTAAAAAAATGAGACCGGGCTTAACTTTTTAATTATTCCGGATAGTTCTTCGTTACTCCTTGATAACTTTGTTCTCGTGCAAATTTTCATCAAAATCAGTTCAGTAGTGCTTGAGGTATGTGATATTAAAGATTAGCGTGTTTAAATGAAACGCACTGCATTTCCGTTTCGGACCATTCCACAAGGATTTCACTAAATGTCAGTTTGCTCATGGAGCACCCTATGTGCCTTCCTGGCCCTTAGGGTCAGTTGCAACTGTCTGGTAACCTATCTGTGATGTTAGTAATCTGGCTACGGTCCTGAGGAAGTTTAAACTGAAAAAGAATGGTGTTATCACTTTAGCCTAAGAATCAGTCCATATGAATTCCGTTTACACAATGGAAAGGTAATAAAATGAGACAATTTTAGATTATTTTGTAGTTGTTAGCATTTGTGAATATTGATGGGTCAGCATCTGTAAAGGTGAAGCGTACTAATAAAAAAATAAATATTTAGTAAATCTACTTATCAAAAAGGAGAAACTTTTATAGCAAAATAATACTTAAGAACCTCAACCATGGAAGGTAAAGTATCAAATCAAAGCTTACAGGTATTTCTTCCTCTCGCAAAACAGGTACTGTCGGAAGATGTCAAAATGGTTTCAGATGCCAAAACCTCTGTGTCGATAAGCAAAAGAATTCCTCATTTCTTTGACGGAAAACTTTGAGACCCAACAAGATCACAGAGCTCCATTATTGCCTTTACAGTCCGTAAGAGAGGTATTAGGTAGTAAATAGGGTTTATACCAGCTCTAGCGTTTAAAAGGTAAAGTATACGCTTCGTAAGGTTGGTTGCAGAAAAGCATAAACAAGTAGACCTTGTAAAACGTGCTGGGATCTAGAAGTATTAATTAATGCGGCAACCATATGCATCACTATGATTATTTAACGTTATGACGTAACTGATTTCATTCAGTGAATAAACCATATGTGTTATTCGAGAGGATATGCTCGCCTGACGTCATGTCACCCTCAGATATTATAATAATAATAATAATTAACGTATTTTATTTGTAATATTCTTACAGGAGGCGAGATTTAGATTATATATCTATTCTACCATCTAACACCCTTAACAATACGGGATGTAAAAAAAAAGAACTTGTTGAAAATTAATAGGCACCTGTATACGATAACGAATAATCCAGATAAATACATAAGGAAAATATGAGGACACTTATGGGTTACAACCGATTTCGCTGCTGATCAAGAAGAACTTCTTTCACTTTTTTCTTGAATTTGGATAATGGATTGGTTTCTTTTAAACTGCGGTCTAAAGAATTATATGATTTGATCGCATTGTAAATCTATGAATTCTGAAATAGAGACGTGCTGTGGCGTGAAATTGAAAAAGTCTAATATTAATACGATGCATATTCCCTCTACGTATGAATTTGTTTACTAAATATGACGGTGTTTTTGAATAAAGAACCTTATGAGTCAGATTCAGGAGCTGGTACTTATACATTTTATCAATTTTCATCCATTTGAGTTCATTAATGGCATTCGATATATGATCATATTTTCTGACATCATTTACAAGCCTGCAACATGTATTCATAATACTTTGAATACGATTTCTTGTTATAATATCTAAATAGGGATAGTAAACCACTAAGCAATACGATATCTTTGAAAATACGAAATATTCACACAATTGCTTTCTCGAAGATTTATGTAATATAGCCTTATTTGCAAATAAAACTCTGAGAATAGCGTAGCACTGAGTAATTAGATAGTTCACGTGTGCAACAAATTTAAAGTCATCATCCATTATAATACCTAGGTTTTTCGAATGATCCGCAGGAATTAATTTATTACCTTTTAAATGTATGTCTATGTCCTTTTGTAAGGTATTCTTTTTTGTTCTATTTGCGTATACCAACATATTTGTCTTCAAAGGGTTCAAACGAAGATTATGACTACTACTGAACTTTTCAAATTGGGCAAGATCTTGATTAATTTTATTATTTGCCGTTTCCAAGTCATTACTCCTAAATGAATAGAGAATTTGAGTATCATCTGCAAAAAATTGTATGCTGCATAATTTTACCTCTGTTTCTAAATCTGAGATATATAATGAAAATAATAGCGGTCCTAAGACTGATCCCTGTGGTACACCAGAATAAGTTTTTTATTCCGTAGAGTACTGTTGATTTAGACGAACTTTTTGATACCGATTTTCAAGGTAGGTTTGAATAAACGAAAGAGGTTTTTCAGAAAATCCTATAGTAACTGCATTTAGATACAAGAAGTGAGTGATTAATGGTGTCAAATGCTTTAGTAAAGTCAATAAATATGAGAGGTACTGCTTTTTGGTTATCAAGTGCCATTGTTATATTGTCTGTTAAATCACAGAGTGCCGAAGCTGTATTATGGCCTTGTCGAAATCCAGATTGTTTAGATGGAATAATTTTGTTAGAATATAAGTAGGCGCAGAGCTGCTCGTAAACAACGCGTTCCAATACTTTAGAGAAAATTGGCAGTAGACTGATCGGTCTCAGTTGACCATAGTTAGTAGGATCAGAACACTTAGGTAGCGGAATAACTATAGCGCGTTTCCACTGATTGGGGAAATATCCCCTCTCTAAACAGCAGTTTATAATATGCGTTAAGTACACATCAATTTCAGGTATACATAGTAGTATCATATGCAAAGTTATTTCATCTGTACCACTAGAATTTGATTTTATTTTATGTATAATTTTAACAACGGTGTCAACAGTCACTTTATTAAATTGAAATTTGAATTTTGAGTTACTTTTATTAGCTCGGTAATATGCAATTTTATCAGCACAAGCCAAATCACTATTCTCGAAAATTGAAATGAATGCCTCATTTATTTTATACGGATCTGACAAGCTCACGGGAATTGTAGAATCTTTCTGAGATTGTACTTTGAAAGTCTTTAGGGTCTTATGAAACTTTTTTATATCCTGATTTTGAACAGCTTGTAAATAATCTCTTTTTCCTCTTCGCACGAGCGTTAATGCACGATTTCTGAAATATGTAGTACGTCGAAGGACTTACTCCTTGTTTGCCCTTCCTCCACTTTTTTAACTATGATATTTCATAGGTATGACACACACCTCAGATCTGTTCCGGATAACAGATTCGTTGAGGGCGTTTTTTTCTAGCTATTCCCCTAGTATTTTTGTTCATGTAGGGACGTACGAGTGTACCTTTATAAATGCTAAGCGCGGATGACAGAATGTTATCGATGCCTTTTTAGTGCTGAGATGGCCGCTCCGAGTTTTGACGGGAACAAAACGTAAGTATTGATATATTGAATGTCAAGTCATGGGACAAACTACAATATAAAATGCACACTGAACCTGAAACACTGGGTAGGAGTGTATTTTTATAATATCGTGGATTCTGTGCTTAATACAATGCTTTCGATGTCTTTTCTCAGTGCTGAAAAACCCGTTCCAGAAGGATATTTTTTATTTCTGGATTCGTTGTTGGAGGAGCTAGCAACGGTAGCTTTGACGGTGTCCTGCAGTTTCGGGCTTATGGAGTTATATTCTACCTCTGACATTCCCTGTAAGATCCTCTTAGACCATATGGCGACAGGCGCTGAATGTGCATTGATGTTATCGGACTTTTCAAGTTTAAATCTCCTAAAAAGCCAATTATATTCTCCGGTAGCTGCACGTGATTACCATTATCTAATGGGGGAAAGCCGAGGGTGAACGTCAACCCTTCCAGAATGAATCATCCGCCCGCCGACGGGTCGTGGACATCGTCGAACGCGCTGGATAGAGACAGCTGATAGACAATGAATGTGAATAGTCGCCGGGCATAATATGTGGACAGCACGTGGACGTGTCGATCTCGTTTATTTTTCTCATAAAATATCTCCAGATTTTTAAGACGCTTTTGGTTTTTTGTATCAATGTTGGAACTACTGCAAAACCTATCTTGTCTAGTGTGCTTCTGGTTTTCCTTCTTTCCATACATAGCTGTAAGTATGTATGATAAAGCGATTAAATAATTAATTTTTATTTACCCGCTGGAGCTGGGGCTGGCCGTCGATGCCAGGTGGTCGAGCACAAGAATGCAAATGACAATAGAAGGGGAGAACGGCAATATATGCAGGAACACGGGAGAAGGGTGTAACATGAGAGGGAGATTTTGCTTTAAAACTTTGTTGCTGGTAGCACGACAGGACGGACTACGTTGTGAAATGATAAACATCTTTGGACTGAACGCCTCAAAGTATATTACATTGTGCTGCATTATCTTGCTAGTGTACGCTTTCAAATACTAATCAAAAAGCGAGAGTCAAGGCGTCATTTGTCACTACAAAATATTTGAAATACCTGCATCATTATCACTCTTCTGCGTAAATTAAAACTTTTGTTTTAAAAATGAATCGTAAGCACGAGAAACATGAATTTTGAAAAAAGTTGATTTTCAAACAATATTGTCAGAATCGCAAACTCTTCGCCAAATTTACACTCATTTCAGAACTATACATTTGAGAAGAGGAAGATGATACTTTGATCCAGTAAACCATACTTATCAGGTGACGATGTACTTTCTCTAATAATGGAAGCGTACTACAATACACGCAGTTGTTTCCCAAGGCTGTCCGGAGGGCCTTGGCCTTTAGGTCATAGTCACTGTAATGTCTGTCGTTAGTCTGTCAGGTCTGGTGGACGAGAAACCAGGCAAGTTGTAGGGGAAAGGGGAGAGGGAGAAAGAAAGGAAGGAAGTAGGAGTGTGAAGAGAGAGAAAATAAATTGTTTTATTGAATATTTGATGTGAAATATATCTCTAGGCACTGTTACATTGTGGTATATAAATTTTGACTTACTCTGAACCGAATTTTGGGTGTTTGGTTTATAAAAAC